TTTTTCTTATTTAATTGCGATCAAGGGTAAAAAAGAAATGATAAATCTAAATTATGTTACAATTCATTATATTATACCAATCATAAATGGGTAAAATAAAACAACTAAAACAAACCAAAGTTTTTGTTATACTAATTGTCAATAGAATACTATTCATATTATCGCTCTGGTTCAATTAGTGTACACTATTATGTTGCGATTGTACTGTATTGTATTGTAAAAAAAATAATTATTTGAGTTTTTCTTTTGTCCATGTCAAAATTTGTATTTAGTAACTATACCTAAATGGATTGTGAGACTGGGAAATAAGAATACACAAAACTTAAATTTGTGCACAGATTCAAAAGTCTAAAAATTTCGAGACTAAAAGAACTTGTCTTAGCATTAGGTGATGACTTCATAAAGTATACACTAGAACACTTAAAAATATATTAGACATCAATTAAGCTCAATCGATTATATTTGAATAAACTTGAAAGTTCAACAAATTTAATTTATTTAATTCATATTAAAATACTTTAAATATATATATTTATGAAGATTAGGTCGATTACTATGCAAATTAGAACTTAAATGAATTAACTAATCAATCTTCAAGTTCTGCTCAAACTAAGTTAAAAGAAAGCTCCCTCCAACTTGTCCTTTCAAGTTACTCAATTAAGAGAAAAGTTAAAATTAAACCGTATTATTCATTATGTGTTGATTTATTAAAAATATTTAAAATTTTTATTATTATTAATGACATTTTAATTGTTAGAATATATATATATATATATATATTTCATTCCCCTTCGATAAAACCATGTAATGAACTCTATTACTTATCAGTCTGGCGTCTGGCCCAAAAAACTTATCAGGCTTTTCGGCCCAGAAAACTCTTCTAGGCTTTGAGTTATCATTTGGGCCTCGACTTGCAAATGTTGATTTGGGCCTTAATTTGGAACTGAATATCATCTGTATCATGAAGCGATCTTTCACAAAATGACATTTCAGTCACGCGAAGATCAACGTCTTTGAAAAATAATATAGAAATCAAAAGGTCATTTTCTTCTGAAAAGTAAAAACAATGGCTTTGTGGTCCAAACGTGTGTCGGGAAAATGGTGGGCTTCAAATTCAATTTCTCTAAGCACCAACCAAGTGGGAGTGGGTACAATAAGGAATTAAGGATTAGTTATCCTCAATTCAGCTGCCCTGTCTCATTCAATAACCCTTCATTGTTTGAAATTAGTACTCGTTGTTAATCATTCTTCTTGTTCTTCTAACAATCAATATTATCCCACATCCAAGTTATGGATATGGAATTTTTTATGGCCCTTTGAAATTGTAGACATAACCAACATAAAACAAAAATATTGATAAAGGCAACGTTTTGATAATACTTTTTGGTATTTTACCTTTTAATTTTTGTTTTTTTTTAATTATTTTAAAAATATATAAGATATTAATTAAAATAAGTATTAAATATATAAAATATATTTTATATATTTTTAACATGTTAAAAAACTAAAAAACTTATTAC